ATTGGCTGCCTCCTGCACGCCCCCTACTGGGGGTGTACCCGCAACCCCGGTACATGCCCCTGACCGGAATCGAACCCGGGACCCCTCAGTCCACAAGCCGACGCTCTATCCACTGAGCCAAACCGGTTTCGGCAGGACTGAAAGGATGTTAGGTTCAGCCACTGTGCGGGTCCAGATCGCAGGCAGCAATGCTAGTCTAGCAGGTGTCGTGTCCTGTCTCCTCCCCACCTCTCCTTGGTCATTCCCACTTAGTAGGATGGGGTTATGTAGTACAGAGCGAGTGGGCTGTTTAGACCACTGGGCAGTATAGCTGCATCCACCATTGACTCCATGTTGCCGAGTACTTGGGATTCTGACTAAGAATCATCCATGCATCTGGCACCCTCAGTTGCAGCCGTGGTCCCAGGCCCACTGATGTGAGGAAGACTTGTACCAGCATCCTTCCCCATCCCCTCTTCCAGGTGAACTGATCACAGATGTAGTAATTTCTGGGTCATCAGAGTACATAACCAGAATGTCTCTCAGGGGAGGCCGCTCAGGATTGCAGGCTCCCGGTGGACTTCATCAGGTTCTAAGAGCAGGGGTGTGCCCAGCAAATAGATGGCTGCACCCTTTTGGCATCTGGCGTAACTGAGCCAATAGTATTCTCTAACTGAGTCTATCGTGAGGCGTTAATATAAGATTGAATGTACAACACTGCGTAGCCCACTCTTTTATTCTCTCCATTTGCCGTTGCTTTTTACCCAAACCTTTCCACCCCTGAAAGGATGTTAGGTTCAGCCACTGTGCGGGTCCAGATCGCAGGCAGCAATGCTAGTCTAGCAGGTGTCGTGTCCTGTCTCCTCCCCACCCCTCCTTGGTCATTCCCATTTAGTAGGGTGGGGTTATATACTACAGAGCGAGTGGGCTGTTTAGACTCGTTAGCTGCATCCACCATTGACTCCATGTTGCCGAGTACTTGGGATTCTGACTAAGAATCATCCATGCATCTGGCACCCTCAGTTGCAGCCGTGGTCCCAGGCCCACTGATGTGAGGAAGACTTGTACCAGCATCCTTCCCCATCCCCTCTCCCAGGTGAACTGATCACAGATGTATGTGTTAATTTCTGGACTCTCAATTCTAGTCCATTGTTCTACATGCCAACATCACAGCATTTGACGGCTGTAGCTTTGTCATAAAATTGGAAATCAGGAAATGTGAGTCCTCCAATGTTTTTGTTTTCCTCTTTCAGAATTGTTTTGGCCATTCTGGGTTACTTGAACTTCCATATGAATTTTAGAATAAGCTTGTCAAACTCTACAAAGAAGTCAGCTGGAATTTTGTTGGAAATGGTATTGACTCTGTAGGTCAGTGTGTCTTTTCTGATGAAGGAGAGCCGTAACTCTAGTTTCTGATTTCACTTGAATGCCTTTTGTCATGCTTTCGCATTAGTGGGGGAGGAGGGTCCTTTACACTGGTCCTGAATTCAGATCTAGGAGATGAGGGCCAGGTGGATGGGCCTGTGGCCTGTGTGCAGGGCGGCCCAGCAGGATGGGGCCTCGCTCCTGTCCT